CGGGGGCTGGGGGCCGACCGGCGGAGCGGGAGCGGGATCCCGGCGCTCCCCGCCGGAACTTTCCTGCCTGCCAGGCTTCTTTCGCAGCCGCTCGCTTCTTTCCAGGTGCCCCCCGCCCGCTGTCCCTGACCAGTTTCTCAGGGCGTGGGACGCAGCCCCTCTCCTCCAGGCATCTCTGGGCTCCTTTTGGACGGGCGTGCTGAAATGCCGTCCGGGCTTTAGGCTGTGTGGGGAGCGTAAGGAGGGGATGTGTAAGGTTTCCTACCCGCTACCAAAAGCCCGGGGAGCAGCCGCCAAGCCCCCTTCCCTTAAAGAGCGGAAAACAGCCCGGTTTGCGGGCAGGCATCGCCCGCTTGGCCGTCTGTAAAAAAAGCAACTCGCTTTCTTCTCTAGAGAAAGTGCTGAGCTTTCTCTCTGCCCCCTCCCCATCCCGGGTGTCTTCTGTGTTTAAACTCGGGTTACAAACGAGCTGTGTTTCTCCCGCTAGAGCCCTGGAAAAGCCTCGCATCTGGCAGAGCCGTAGAGGGAGGCAGCTGACATGAGAAATGCGGCCGGGCTTTGGGAGCGGGGATGGGCTGGGCTGGGCTGGCGGGGAAAGGTGCCGGGCGTTTTGCGAAGGGGGCCTCTCCCTCCAGACTCCCTTGGATGTTTTTCTCATCGTAGGTCCTTGGCCATGAATCCCATCCAGAGGCCTGAGATGTACATCATCGGCGCCCAGCCGGTGTGCAGCCAGCTGCCGGGGCTCTCCCCCGGGCAGCGCAAGCTCTGCCAGCTCTACCAGGAGCACATGGTGTTCATCGGGGAAGGGGCCCGCAGTGCCATCAAGGAGTGCCAGTACCAGTTTCGGCAGCGGCGGTGGAACTGCAGCACGGTGGACAACACCTCCGTCTTTGGGCGGGTCATGAAAATAGGTAGGAGCACCCGGTACAGGGCAGGTGCTGCGCGCAGGCTGGCTGTCCCTATGCAGCTTTCTCCCTTTCTTTAAATACACACGCGATGAGCCCCATTAGCACGGTTCCTAAAGCTGCCTTTAACGAGATTTTTCTATTCCCTGGGCAGGTGGCAGCAGTGTACCTGAGCCACAGCAAGAGCTAGCTGGGGCATCACACACACACACACACACACACACACACACACACACACACACTTTCTCGAGGTCAGGAATAGGGGGGCTGCTTTTGTTTTGTGTGCTTGTTTAAAGGTAGAGAGGGAAGAAGCTGGAGAAAGGAACAATGGCCCCGTGTTATCCTTCCCAACATCTGGAGCGCCCTGGGACAGTGAATGCAGCCCTGAGATGTGGGAAATATGGACTCCCCTGGCATGGGATCTCCCCCCTCTCTGTTCGGCCTCTTTCTGTATAAACCTAACAGATTTTTATAATTCCTGCCCTGCTGGCCCTAAGAGGCACATTGACAGGCCATTGCTGCACTTGAATTGAGGTGTGACCTAGCTACATTGTCCAAGCTCCTTTTGAAATGCAATCATCTGATGGCAAGAAACTGAGAAATCCGGGCTGGGTTTGATGTGTCCGACAGCCGGGACAATAAAGAAAAGGTGTTAAAACAGCCACTCACACAAACACACTAACACACATGCAAGCACCTCTCCAACCCCTGTGTGAAAAGGTTTTGTTTCCCATCCACAAAGCTGATCATTTACACTGAAGAACCAGTACTATTTCTCGGTTGTGAGGTCACTTAGCGAGGGATGGAAAAAGACCTCCAGCCTCTGCACCCCCAGCTGCCCCCAGCACTACTTGCACCTTTTTGGCTTCGCTCTCAAAAAACCCACATAGGCAGCAGGACACCAAGAGATGCATTTTTAATACCTCTGGGGTGTCAAGATGATAGGGCAGCAGAGTAACCAAGTCCTGTGATCCCTTAGGTTTGATCCTGAAACTCTTATGTGTCATCCTAGAGAACTTTAGAGATATTTCTGCATGTGTTACTCAACCTTTCATGATTCCTAATTCAGCCCATCAGAGCCATTCTAATTCCTCCCTTTCTGCCCAGCTCATACACCAACAAGTCCCTGCTTCTCTGGGGGAAATGCTCCCCTGGGAAATGCCATTTCCTGACACATGCTCTCAGCTCCTGACATACATCCGAGGCATCTGTGCATCATTGATCTCTCGCTTTCTGATAGCAAGGGTGGTGGCTGGATGAGGCTGCATGCGATCCCAGATTGTTAAAACTTCTGCTTTGGGGTATAAAACTGAAATTTCAGCCACCAAAGGGAAAGGACAGAAAATACACCTCCATCTCTCCCTTCTGGTGTCCCTCCCTCACATGTAACTTATCCCAAAGAACAGTAAATTTTAGATCCCTGAATTGATCCTAGTGACTCCACAAGGACACAAGAAAATAGGAAATCTCCCCTCCTGGAGCAAACCACCTCTTCTTTGGTAAATTCCTTCAGCCCTGGGTTGGTCCAGTGTGTGAGTCCAGACCTGGAGAAAAGAAGTAAGGGTGAACTAAGAGAAAGCAAAGATCAGAGCTGAAGGATGAAAAACTGTCAGGAAGGATCAGAGGGTGTACAGCAAGAAGGGACTGGAGTGAATAGTGGAAGAGGAAAGATTCCTCCTCTCTAAATGAATTTGATTCTGTTAGTTTAGATTGGGAGTAGATTTGGGTTTTGATGAGGAAAGAGATGGTGTGGGTGTATGATGGGCATGTCCAGCAGGCCTGCTGCTGTTTGGTTTGTGTGTGTGTGCATTTGTTTGCTAGGAGTACTGTTGTATCTCTGGTGGGAATCTGCTGATGGTAGTGTCTGTGAGGTGACTGCCTGCAGTTGCTTGCTGTTTAAAAACCTATCCTAACAAAGAGTTTTGAACCTATCTCCTTTAGATTCTCTGGTTAGTAGCGCATATTCAGATGTTTATACTCCAGCACAACACAGCACAGAAGTAAGAAAAATGTCATCAGAGGTGGCCTGGGTCTATGATGATTCATCACTGTTGTCCAGTCAGTGATAAGCTGCTGTGAAGGGGGATGCTGCCTCTTCTCTTGTCTCTTAGTTCCACCATATGCTTTTACTTTTTCCTACTTTGTAATGAGGCATTGCTCATCATTTCAGCAAATCTATTTTCCATGCTGAGGAAGAAAACAAAGCTTTTCAGTCTCTCAGATTGTGTCAGCTATAAAGCCATTCTTCTCTGGGTTCATACTGTGTGCCTGTCTCCTGTTTTCAACCTCTGAGCCCCAGTCCTGGACCACAGCCCTTTTTCTGTACTCTGCCAATGGCATGAGAAAAGTCTAGAGACCAGAATATCTGCAAGAGTGCAGAGGCATGCCAGAGTGTTGTGGAAGAGGGGGAAGGGATAAGAAGGACCCAGAAGGGTGTGTAGTGTGCCAACAACCATCAGCTGCCCACCCAGCAATGCAGGCATGGCATATAGGATTTCTTGAGCTGCTACAGATTGTGAGAGGCAAGGAGAACCTGCCCTAGCCAAGTCCAAAGCCTGGGAGAGCCTCCCAAGAGTGTTCACTCAGAAACCTGGAAGATTCGTTTCCTTTCCCCCTTGCAGAACTTGGCTCAGCTCCGAAACAGGAGACCAGTCAGTCTGTGTTTAATCATTACACCTTCATTTTGTGCATTTCCTAGAGGTGAGACAGTCCAGTGATACAAAGCATTTGTAGAAGCATCCACAGGACTGAAGCAGGCTGCTTTTTAGCATTGTTTTATTATAGTGTTTGTGTTGTCGTGAGAACTGCTCTTACCTTTTAAATGTGGTTTATTCAATAATGATATCTGGCAATGTACAAAATCTATCCTTCTGAAGTTGCTTCTTGTTCTATCAATACAGATTTTAGACTCTGTGTATATATAACTATATACAGACACATTCCTTAGTTCTACATTTATGAGGGAGAGAGCAGAGCACCCCAAAAAGTCGGGTTAGAACTTCCTCAGGGGAGGAGAGAGTATATCTACATCGGTGCAATCCTAAATGCAAGGCTGGGGTTTCCAGGTCAGTCCAGTCCTTTCTGGAGCCAAAGATGTCATCTCTTCTGCCAAAAAAAAAAAAAAAAAAAAAAAAAAAAAAAGGAGTCGTAAAAGAAGAGAACAAAGAGAAATATATTTTCTCGTTTTTCTTCGAGGTCGGCAAACTTTATGGAGATCCTTTAAAAAAAATCAGTTGAAAACAAAACTTTTTCCATCAAAAAAGTTAGAATGACACATTTTTATCATCTCTGCATCAGCCTCCCCACAGGGGTCAGTTCTTCTCCCATCTCCTTCTTGTGGAGCTCCCGAAGAGGAGGCCCTGGGGACCGACACCTTGCCTGGGCACAGCTCACCCTGGTATCACGGTGCCCCTTGAAAGCATCCGCAGCCCCGAGCTCCCCCTCCTGCGGCCGGTGGCCGGCGGGCACAGGAGGGCAGCAGAGCTCCGTGGAGCTCCGTGCCCGCGGGCAGTGCATCATCCCAGGCCTGCCCAGGGCACGGTGGCCCGGGAGGGCTCGGCATAGCCGGGGGAGAGGGCAGAAGGGGGGTTAACTTGCCAGACCGCCTCTGTAACCTCTGTTCACACCTGCACAAATTTGGGGAATAACACCCCTGTCCTTTGAGATGACAGCACAGAGGTGTGGAACTGCAGAGAGCTTTGAGATAATGAGCAAAACCTCAAATACTTTTCCAACACTGGAAGGTGTGGCAGGAGAGCAGAGGAAACTGGGATGTATAAGCTCACAGTTGCCAGCTACAAATTTGCTTTGTATTAGCACAGGGTTTCATGCACATGTCCGATCCTGCCTCCCAAACCAAGCTGCAGTCTACCAAATCTACATCCTCAGTGAGCACCGTGGTTTGTTCTACTTCATGGGCAGCAAGGGGGGGGTGTTTGTGCGGAAAAACGCCACTGTGACTCGTTTCAGCCTCTTCCACCACCATCCTCAGCAGCCTAAACTCCTCATGCAGATCCAGGGGCTGCACGTCAAGTTGAGCTGCTACATCTGAAATGTGGAAATAGTTAAAACATGGACAGCAAAAGTGTAAATCCAGTCTATGCTTTCAGGGATCTCGATCAAGCTGTAAGGGTGCTATGCACCTGGAGTCATGCAGGCTTTGTTGCATAAGCTGTAACACAGGGAGGTCCTTTCCTTGTAAGTATTTTATCTCTGTAGGCGCAGGGAGTGCTCTACCTAACAGGGTGATTGGTGTGTCCGCAGGGCTCTCACCATACAAGCACAGACTGGTAGGAGCAAAACTGCGCATTGGACCTTTACCTTAAAATACTTGTAACATGCAAAACAAACTAGATGAATAAAAGCTTGATTTTGGTTGCTGAAAAATGAGCATAACTCCCTCATGGGGCAGTCTCTGCTGAATTAACCTTACTAGGAGACATTCCTCTCTAACTCTCGGACCAGGGAGGCTTGGAGCTGCATAGTTCTCTTCTTGTGACCTGTTACTAAAGCCCTCCCTTCTCTAATGTATCCTGTAGCATTTTATCAGCCTTGTGGTGTACTCCAGAGCAGAAACCCTTACAATTTGTGAGAAACAACTCACATTTAAGGGGAAAAAAATCACAAGTTGTTCTGCAAGGTGGATGCCATTCACAGCCTTGCCTTTGTCTTGGGTCATTACCACTAAGCTGGTGATAAGCTGCTATTAATTACAGATTGTCAGCACATGCAAATTGGAACAAGAGCATACCAAAAGCATCAGCTCAGTCCTGCTGAGGGAGCTGGCACTGAGAGCCTCGTGGGCTGGTGACAAACTGTTCTTGGAGGATCTGCCCTCTGAAGTAATTCAAATTGCTTGAGAGCATCTTGCTGGGGTTTGGTGTAGGTAGCTCTTCACAATCAGATTGCTTAGCCCAATGAAGCTTTGGCAGTTGTTCTGTTTATCACCTGAAAGTTTGGTGATGCACACAATTACTCTGAAGGTGTCGTTTATTGCACTATGTGGTAAGAGTGCAGGTGTGGATTGCCTCCTTCTCCTCCTCATTCCCCTCCACCACCACCCC